TCCCAGGTCTGTCAAACACACACACACACACACACACACACACACACACACACCAAAAAAACTGATAAAATGAGCTCTTTTGTTACTGCTAGACATGGCTGGGAAAATCTACTTCCTCAGTGTTCTCTGGGTTCTCCTGGTCCTAGTGAACAATTCCCAGCTCGCCACCACATGTTTCCATGAGGATTTATTCCCCACAATTTCTTTTTTCTTCCCGTTAATTTCTTTTTTATTTTTATCTTTTTTTTTTTTTCTTGTGCCAGTCCTAGAGCTTGAACTTGGTCTGGGCGCTGCCCTTGACCTCTTTAGCTCAAGGCTAGAGCTCTCCCACCACCTGAAGCCACAGCTCCCCTTCCAGCTTTTTGCTGGTTCCTTGGAGGCAAGAGTCTCAAGCACTTTCCTGCCTGGGCGGGCTTCAAACTGTGATCCTCAGATCTCAGCCTCCTGAGTAGCTGGGATTACAGGTGTGAGCCCCTAGCTGCCCCCTCTGTTAATTTCTTCTAACAGTGTTTCACGGCTGGCTCCCAGGTTAACTAGAGAATTGGCAGGAATGAAGAGCAGTGTTGCAGACAATGGGACAATGGAAGCAGAGAGCCAGTCTGCTGGGACGCTCCCTCGGCTGCCACTGAACACAAACACTGCCGCTTGTACAGGTGTCACTCCTGGTGTTCAACACTGGATCTAAGAGTTGGCACCGCAGACCTCACTGTGTCTTGCCAACCTGATGCTGCTGCCACTGACACCAGAAAAAAGCCTCCACTGTCTGTGTGGCTTTGTGTCATTAGTTTCAGGTTGAGAATCCCAGATAAGCACATCTGATTGGCAGACTGTGAGACCAGGGCTGCTGCTGGCAAAGGAGCTCCAGTACAAGGTATCTTTTCAGTGCAACTTGTCTTCTGGGAAGCAAGGGATTATTTGAATACAAACAGGACTCAGAAACTGGGCATTATTATTACACATATGACCTGGTGGCTCACACCTGTCATCCTAGCTACTCAGGAGGCTGAGATCTGAGGATCATGGTTCAAAGCCAGCTCAGGCAGGAAAGTCTATGGAAACTCCTTACCTCTAATTGACTATCAAAAAATGCTGGAAGTGAAGCTATGGCTCTTATGGTAGAGCATTAGCCTTGAGCAGAAAAGCTCAGGGACAGCGCCCAAGCCCTGACTTCGAATCCCAGGAGCAACACAATAAACCAATAATAATGACTGTAAGTAAATGCCAAAGGATGTAACAGAGACACAAACTTGCTTTTTAGCAATACCACATGTAACACAGCACACTGCCAGTGTCTCAGCAGGTTCTAAATAACTACTGATTTCTATTAGCGCTGTCTTAACACTCTCGTAATTACTATCTTAATCCCATTCTAATCATAGTCATCATTATTACAGTGTCAACCTGTAGGGATTAAATGAAACCTCAAAAGGCTCAGGAGATGAGAGAAAACACAAAGAGGATTTGAGAGGCCCTGCTGATGCCAACACGTTACCACCCCCGAGAGAGAAGGGGATAACTTTACATTGACTAAAATTCAGTTGTTGTTGTTTTTTTTGTCGGTCGTGGGGCTTGAACTCTGGGCCTGGGCGCTGTCCCTCAGCTCTTCAGCTCAAGGCGAGCGCTCTACCACTTGAGC